TGATAAGAATGTTGTTTATTGGTCCAGTGGTGAGGATTTTTGTTTTCTTTACATTGAGATGCAATCCATACTGAAGGCTGTGGTCTTTGATCTTCAAGTCCTTTTCACTTTCAGCAAGCAAGGTTGTATCATCTGCATATCGCAGGTTGTTAATGAGTCTTCCTCCAATCCTGATGCCACGTTTATACTCTGGAACACTTAAATTGTGCTCATAAGGAGTCTGTACATGGACCAAAAAACAGTTGTTAGAACATAACATGGGAACACTGAAAGGTTTAAAATTAAGAAAGGTGTGTGACAGGGTTGTATTCTTTCCAACTCATAGTGACCCTGTATAGTGTTTCCAAGGAGTAACTGGTGGGTTTAATTACACCGACCTTGCAGCTCAAACTGACCTTACAGTCCAGTGCATTATCCTGCAGCTCCACACCAGGACTCCTCACCTGTATATAGAAACTGTAAAACTAGGCCCAAATTAATTTTTCAAAGAATGAGGAACTGAAATTAAACAAATATTTGTTGAATGAATGAACAAAGGGAATGCTTTTTAGTGTTATTTTGTGAGAGGGTTTGGATCCCCTAGGGCGCAGCCCTCCCCAAACGGAGAGACTGCAAGACTCACCCCACCCCTTCATGATGGGGTGGTAGGGTTCCTCCAGGCTCCAACTACCTATCCAGTTCAGAAAGCAGATGATTCACAGCTGCATATAATTCACTACCTGGGATCAAGAATGGGTAAAGGATGCATATTCATAGGGGTCCAAATCAAACTAACATGGGGATTTTAAGGAAAGTTTAAATCACAAATTTTTATTTACAAAGTAACAAAAACCTAGCAAGGAAATAAAACTTAAAGCCATCAATTTCAAAATGTCTTCATTTGTGTTGATACTTCAGAGGTCTCTCCATCATGTCATTCATTTCCCCAAAAGAAGGGTAAACATTTGTTTTCCACACCTTTAACTTTGAAGTATTATAAAATCAGGAAAATTTATCAGAAAAAAAACAAGAAATCAATTACTTTAAATATATGTAAGTATTTCCACCAAAAGAATGACCAATGTTTTCTGGGGTCAGTCTAATCAATGGATTAAACATTACCAAATAAACCACTTCATCATTATATTGTAAAAAATATGCAATTAAAACAAGACTGATTAACAGTAACATTAATTTGGCTGTTAACTTATGCAACAACGTATTCAATTTTCAAACTTGTTAAGGGAGATCAGAAGCCATTTGAAATATCATAAATTTATGCCAAGGATGTAATTTAAGGATCACTGATAGTGTAGTGGATTACGCTGGGCTGCAAACCACAAGGTCAGCGTTCATATCTACCAGTCTCCCTATGGGAGAAAGATAAGGCTTTCTGATCCCCTAAAGACTTACAGGACTTGTAGCGAACCATAAGGTCGGCAGTTCAAACCCACCAGCTGCTTCTTGGAAATCCTATACAAAGTCACTTTGAGTCGGAACCTACTTGATGGTACTTAACAACAACAACAAATATTTACAACTTTGGAAACCCTGTGCTACGAGTCAGAACTGACTTCACTGCACACAACGATCACCATCTCACCTCTAAGGAGCACTAGTGGTATAGTGATTAAGCACTCTTGCTGCTACCTAAAAGGGTGATTTTGCTTCCTTAAAGATTACAGCCTTGCATTTTGAGGTCTAGCCCTAAGACCTTGAGGCCTAGGAATGAGGGAGGGAGGCCCCTGCCATAAGACCTTGAGGCCTAGGTCACACACAAAGGAAACTAGCAGCTTCTTCTGCTTTTGTAAATAGCTGCTTATCTATGAACATACAATGAGAATGTAACACGGTGTAATCACCACTCAACCTATGTGTTGTTGTTGTTGTTGTTAAGTGCCGTTGAGTCAACCTATGTAATCCTATATAAAACTGGTACGAAAACTGTATTGGGAGCTGGGCATTTGGGACATTAGTCCACTGATTCTCCGCCAACAATAAAGCCTCTTCCTCTAATGAAAGAAAAAAAAAAAAGATATAACCTTGGAAATCCTTTGGGGCAGTTCTTCGCTGTTCTTTGTTATTGTTAAGTACTACCAAGTTGTGTCAGACTCAGCAACTCTATGCAATAGAACTAAACACTGCCCAATCCTGTGCCATGCTCATAATTGTTTCTATGTTTCAGCCCTTTGTTTCTGCCACTGTGTCAGTCCCTCTCCTTTTTCTCTGACCCTGCACTTTACCAAGCATTATGTCCTTCTCCTGCCAAGATGTCCAACGTATGAGACACAATGTCTGGCCATCCTTGCTCTGGCCCTATAGGGTCACTATTTGGTTTTATGTCATCTCTAAAATTGTGAAGAATTTGTTTACTTTTCTTTCCTTTTCAGCCCTTATACCAGTTAAGTAAATCTCATTAGGTATTTTTCTATTTTTTAGATATGGTTTAAATGAAAACTCATATACATATGAAAATGAAAAGATGAATCTTTATGAATCTATTTTCACTGTCAACAGTTGATTCTGACAAACAAATGGTGATCCCATGTTTTACAGGGTAGTACTGCTGCACAGTGTTTCCTTGTATTTTAAACTTTTTATTGTGAATTGAATGGTTTACAGAGCAGATCATCAGTTTTACATTCATCAAATCATACATTTTGCTTCATTACAATGATTGCAATCCCCTCCTTGTACCAGCAGTTAACAGTATTTGTCTCTATTAATTTTAACTATTGGATTCCTCCCTGAGTCTACCACTACCTTCATCTTTCCTCTGCTAACAGCCCTCTTGTTGTATATTGCCTGCCTTGTCACCCATGTTAACATGTGTCTACCATAGTGTTTACGAATTGGGCTGCAGTTCAGTCTCAAGATCAGCAGTTCAAAACTACCAGCTGTACTGTGGGAGAAAGATGAGACTTTCTCTCCCGTAAAGATTTACAGCCTCAGAAACCCTGTGCAGGATCACTATGAGTTGGAACCAACTCCATGTACCAACTCCATGGTACAACAACAACAAAACCCCATAAATAATTTTCTCTCCCTCTTCCTCCATAACCATTATTGATTGTTTCTTTTATTAAGAAAAACTTTTCCTAAAGTTTTATAACATTGATCTCATACAATATTTGTCCTTTTGTGATTGACTAATTTCACTCAGCACAGTGTTCTCTAGGTCCCTCAGGTTGTGAGGTGTTTTGCAGACTCATTGTTATTCTTCAACAGTGCATAGTGT